TCAGGAGAGAGTCCCTGTCGCCTTCTGGATTGGGGCTGCACAAGCTGGGGGAGGGGCTGACAGCACCCCTGCCACACAGGCCCTCATCAAGGAAGCCGCTGTCTGTCAGGTCACACGAACTCACTGAATCGGCATCCTTATCCGTGCTGCGGCTGTCACAACCACTCTTGCACACGACAGAGCATCTGCCATTAGTTGAGGTCAAGCAAGGAGAATCTAGAAACACATCATCACCATCACTACTGTCTGATTTCAATCGGACGTGTACTCCTGAGGGCGGCTGTGACCCTGCTTGAACTGCTGGAAGACCATCAGAGTCAAAAACGTTTTTGTTTTGGTCGGACCCATTATCAGTGCTTGCCAACTTTTCTGACTGTTGCAAGACCTGCTTAGGTATAACTGAGGTTGTAATACCATCCACACTAAACCCTCTCTCTACTCTAACAGGAGAAGATATAACAATCTTCGGGCTTTCAGCGGTAGTTGCAACTGCAATAGTGCATGCTGACTGTGTTGTTGTAACTTTTGTATGGCTTGAAGGCAGGCTGCAAGTTCCTGAAGGTGCTGAAGATTCAACCACACGAGTAACAGTGAAACGGCCACCTATGCTAAATCTATTGGGTCGAACAGAAGCCTGCTTGGGCAGTGAGCTCAGGTCTCCTGATGACATGCTCCTGCCTGTAGGAGTTGCAGGTGCTGAACTACAGAGACCAGCTGCGTGGCAGGAACTTATAGGTGACTGGACTGGGCTCTTGGAGGTCTCCTGCACTTTGATAACTCGAAACCTATTTTTAAGTGGACTGGGAACCGGGCTAGGGGAGGGACTCGCACAAGGGCTGGGAGAAGGACTGGGCAGAGGGCTTGGCTCTGGACTTGTGTATTTTGGTTTTTCCTCCTCTAGGATAGGGCCTTCAATCTTCTCTGTAATGGTAGTTTTCGTTGAGGTTTCGCAGGTAAGAGATATCTTCCTTATGCATGTGGCTAAACCCTCATTTGGTGAATGGCTTTTGGAAGTGTCCTGGCTGTTGTCTTTGGCCTGCACCTCTGTGGCCCTGATATGACTTCGAGTGAGGTTTCGTTGACAATATTCTTTGATCTCTTTTTGTAACATTGTGTGTTGTTCGGCTAATTCAACAGCTGGTTCTGTTCTCGGGTCAGAGTCCAAGTCCATCTGGATGATTGTAGAATTAAGCCTCAACGAATGTGCGAGGGCCATGAGACCTGCCACCCGTATTGGATTCTCACGCAGGTCAATGTGCTGGATGGCTGTATTGTCTGCCGTGTATTCAGCCAGTGCAACTGCTCCCTCATCTGCAACCCTGGCAGCTTGGAGACCCAGCCGCAGCAAGGCACGGTTCCTCAGGAGAGACTCCTTCAGCCGTAAGATGCCTTCACTAGTGAGGTTGTTGCGACCTAGATTCAGAGTCTCAAGCGCTGTGGTGACATTCAGCATACTAGCCAGATGAGTTGCTGACTGCTGAGTCAGGTGGTTGTTCCAGAGGACTAGGGAATTAAGTCCCTTCACCCTAGAGCTCTCCGTTTCCTGTGAATTCCCCTCTTGTATCTGCTGCATCTGCTGTTCTGCAATGCCCTCACAAACATGACCACAACCTGCATCTTGTACATTATTGTTACGAAGGTCAAGGAGACGGAGCGTGTTATTTGCCCGCACCAGGTTTCCAAGTTGTATGCAGTCATTGACACCAAGCCGATTCTCTGCTAAGTACAATTCAGCTAGGGTGTCATTATGCTTTAAGGCTGCAGTAAGCATTATTAGAGGCCTTCCAGTCAAATTGCAGTTTTCTAGGTGAAGTGTGTGCAGACGAGCCCCTAGTCGAAGTGCTCTCCCTAAGATGGGCATATTGGTCTCATTGAGGTTTGTGTTGCGAGCATCAAGATACTCCACAGATGGTGTTCGCTTTAGCATGCGGGAGCAAGCCTGCCAACCCCTGAAGCCAATCTTTGCATTGCAAGAAATATTTAGCTGTGTTGCAGAGTCATAGAACTCAATCATATCAAATAGGGGAATGGCAGTGTCGTCATCTAAGGAACAGCCTTCCAAGTCAAGGATCTTGAACTGCACTCTGCGAAATATTTCCTCCAAGCCCTCGCACTGGCTTCCGTCCAGCCTCTGCCCACGGAGACTCAGGCACTCCACCCGGCCCCCAACGCCTAAGGGCAGCGCCTTGATCTGCTGGACTACGGTTGGCAGGGGCTGCGTGCGATGGCGCTCACAAGAGGACCTGTAGGCGGCAGCAATCTCCTCGACCGTGACGCCAGACATCTGCTGCCATGGGTTCACAGGCTCCAGGTAGCTGGAGATGAGGCGAGTGTCATCTTCTGGGAAGGAGACCCTGCGGCCACGGCAGCCCTGGAGGCGGATGGACTTGCGTGGATGGCCAGCTGCTGGGGGTATTGGAGTACTTGGGGCCGACAGTGGTTGATCTTTGATGCCCTGCTCCTCCTTTTGCTTGTCTGTCATCTGAATCTCGGATTCTTTGTTATTTTTTTGGTCCCCGAATTTATCTTGGTTCCCCTCTTGGGTTTCTGTTTGCAAATTCTCACTGTCACTAGCATCCTTTGACTGCTGTTGCTCAACCTTTGCATCATAAACTTTGACCACACCATTCTCTGTTTTGAAACTTTCAGGGTTCTGAAACAAAGTATCACTCTCACTGCAGCAAAGACTGTTCTCATTTATCCTGTCCTCTATATTTACACAACCTGACCTCCTTTTTGCCCCTTCATGATGCTGGACTGGCTTCACTTCCTTTGCAACAGCATCTTTCTCTTCAAAACCATGGGGTTCCTCAGATATACCTGTATTTTTCTCTTGCTCACCCACCACCAATTCTTTTTCTGTCGTTAACACTTCCTTAAAACTAGAGTGGTCCACAGGAGGTCTGGCATCACTCCCTGGGGCTATAATATTACCTTCAATGTCTGTCTTACTCTCTGTTTGCTCTCTTATCACTTGGTCTGAAGCACCTGATATAGACTGAGTAGAAGAAATAAGTACTTGACTAAGTTCGTCCTTAATCTCATGCACAGCCGAGCATAGTTCACTATGTACATCCTTAAATGCGGTTTTAAACTCACTCTTCACCTCCGCAAACACAGAAGCCATTTCTCCAGCAATGTTTACTTCCAAGGACTTTCCCTCGGCTTTTCTGGCATCCTCACAAGTTGTGTCTTTCTCTTGGGATCTACACTCAGAGTCATGGCTTCCCTCCTGGGATTTGTCCCCCACTTTTCCACCTTCTCCACTGGCACTGTCTTTTGTCTCGGCTTCGCAAACTGCCGCCGGCACTGCTGGACATTCTTGTGTCGTCTCTTGAGGTGCCACGTTTGGAGTCTGCTGGCTGCTGTCCTGGCCATTTTGGTCAGCAGGCAATGACGCCGGAGTTTCATCCTTGGTGCCTGTGTCCTTGTTGCTCTCGGCACCAAGGCAGGGAAGAGACGGAGGGGAGTCGGTGCTTTTTTCCGCCTCTTGTGGGTCATGCTGGATAACGTCTGTCTTGCTGGCACCGCTCACACTCATCTTCAGAAGGTTCGCTGGCTAGAATGCAGACTTTTACAATGCTAGGAGATGTAACTGTGACTTTGCAACTGCAAGAGAACCCTTCTGTCACTCTGCCTTGACAAGCCAAAGAGTAAAACATCTAATGGATGGCATGCAACGTCAAATTGGTGTGCAAACTTTTGCTGGCCCACTCTGTTGCACAGTATCATAAGTTTTGGTGAATAGTCCAACTGATATGCTACAAACCTCATGAAATTCAATATGCTATGGGTTCTCATGACAAAGAATAGAAACAACTTTGCAGAACCTTCATTAGGCACTTGCTTTTCTATACAAGTGGACCTTAACATGGAAAAGCAAAGTATCTGCAAAAATATTACAACTTGGTAATATACCAAATAGATTTTTGTTTCCTTTATCTATCTTCTGATGATATAATAATTATTCTAGCAGTATAAAGACAGTTCAATTATGTCAATAATAAAAAAGAAACAATACAAATTTAAAACAAATAATATATGATGCTGTCCTCTTCAAATCTCGGTGTTCACTTGAGGATATTCGGGAAAAGACGTTGTACTATTGCCACGGCTGAGGAATTCTGCTGGATGTTCAAGTTGCTGCACTCTCGCGTTATCTGCAAGTAAAGAAACTGTAAGCAACAGAGGCCAGGCTCATGGAAATCAGAGAGCTCAAAAGAATACAGCACTAATAACCTAGAATTCATGATACCCAAATACAACAAAATTATCAATGATATAAATGAGGAGGCAAGTCTGAGAAAAAGAAAAAGAAAGAGAGAGAGAGAGAGAGAGAGAGAGAGAGAGAGAGAGAAAATTCTGAAGATAGTGTATGATAGTGTAAGTTTTCCATTGTCTATAGTATTCAAATGTGTTTAGTTTATGAGGAAAAAATTTAACTAATTAATAGTATTACTATCATACAGGCATAAAAAATTCAAACCTTTCCTAGTGTATGTTCTAGTATGTTTTATAATTTCTCTGTAATATGGGAGCACTAAGACTGAATTAATTTCAAACTGGTCGTCTCTGATTTTATATCCTACTAACAAATGCAATAATTTACAAAGAAGGATGGGAAAAAATAAGTCTGTAAAAAAGGAATGCAAAAAATTTAAAGGTAAAAGGCAGCAAAAAAAAAAGACTTTTGCTGTCTTTTACCTTAAAGGTGGGAGATGGTAAAAAAAAAACTTTTCCCATCCTCTATCTACTAAAAAAAAAATGCCATGTATCATCCTGCACTAGTTAAAGGAAATTAAAAATTCTCTAAGGCTGAGCTCTTCAAAATTTTCTTTGAAAATGCATATAAAAAGGTTTTCAAGCCAGATGGAGAGATGTATTCAACCGAGGACAAGTGCACAATAAACATTCAATAAAGGATATTGCCATCACATCACACAAACTTTGTAATAATAATGTTTATTATAAAAATAACACCATCAATATAAAATAATTAAAGAAAAGGCAGAGATGAATAAGTAGAAGTGGAAGCAGAAGTAGAAGAAGAGGAAGAAGTAAAGAAGAAGAGAGAAAGAAGCAAGAAACTTTGAAAAACAAAAAGGGAGTAGATGGTAGCAGTTTAGCAAACAATGAAGGTCATCTTTAGTACTCACACTCCTTAGCCAAATGAAGCTGACAGCCTGAATACTAATGAAAGACCTTTATTTACAACTACTCACACAGATAATTCAGATGAGGAAATGACTCAGAATACACAAGAACATCAATCATACTTAAAATTATAATAAGGTGTCAAGGACCGCTGTATCTCCTTCTAAGAAGCCATAAAAATAAAAACAGTGATGGTACAAAAAATAACATGCTGAATAATGACGTAATATCACAACAGCATAATACATGATTACATATACACATAAATAATCAGTCTCCCAGAGATAAACATGTGCTACTGAAACAACTCTATGTCTGCATAGCAAGCAATTACTAATAACAACGTAATAAACACATATGGACTAATTAAACTGAATTACATTCATACAGGAATGACTTCTGAATATTCAAATGATCATGTTGTAGAGATGTTTAGGTCTAAAATCAGGAGTTCTTTACTGTGTGTGAAATATACCTCACAACATTCAACAACATATACAGAAAAAGAAGTAATAAGGACAAGATAGATCTGCTACATCTAGAAATAATTAACAAAGCAACTACCAATGAAACTAATAACTTTATAAAAAGGTTTTGTAATTAACTAATGACTTCCAATGATATTCTTAAATTCATTAATGATATATAGCAACTCAATAGCTTTTCTCGCTTAAGAGGGAACAAACACATTTACTTCACTGCTGTGGAACTGAATGCCTTGTTCTTAAAGATAGTGGATATAGCTAGCCTTTAGACCCACAGCTGCATGTTTAGTGTCTCATTTCACTCCAGTCAGTATTTGATTCTGCCCAGCTGCCTCTCTATACTCAAGTCAACTTCTCAACTTGAACACAGTATCTGCTTAAGATCTAGTCTCAGACTGATATTTCCTATGCCATGAGCATAGTTATGGTATTTAGTAATATTAAGGTATTTAGTATTATTACACCATCATCATCAAAAGTAGTTAAATATCAACATTACTTTTGATATTACACATATATCACAAATTAAAGACATACAATTAATAGATTCATATGACTGCAGTTCATTTCCCTACAAAGTAACACATTCACAGATGAATAAATTTGGGGAAGCTTAGACCAACAAAGGCAATTTTCTTGAACCAGTGTAATCTGACCTTGAAAGTTCAAATTGATCCTAAAATGTATGAAATTACACATGTGATTCTAAAAGAGAAATGATTATCCTATATTAGTAGTTATGAGAAAAAAAAGGAATAAAGAAGCCTGCTTGAAAACTTGATATGAGAAATTGCATGGGGTGTGTGAGCAGAATATCTTTACATCACATGTAACTGTGAATATTCTTAAATGGTAAAAGCAAATTGGTTTTCTCTGATAAAACAAACACAGAAAACAATCTTTAACCACCAGGACAGAGAAATATAATTTTATCTTTAACATGGGGACAGCAAGGTAAAATATTTGTTACTGGAACTATTTGTGGGAAATGATAACAACACACAAAGAAAGAGTGAGGGAGGGAGGAAGATAAGGAGGGAAAGAGAAAAGGAGGAAGGGGGAGGGAGAAGGGAGAGACGGAGTGGGGAAAGAGAGGAAAGAGAAAGAAAGAGAGAAGAGAAAGGAGAGAGAAAGAAAAGGCAAGGGAAGAAAAAAGAAAAGAGAGAAGAGAGAGAGAGAGAAAGAAAAGACAAGGGAAGAGAAAAGAAAAGAGAAGAGAGAGAGACAAAGACCTGCCACCAGACACGATCTCACAAACACCCAAATTCCAACCTCCCATAAAAAATGCATACCTACTGACACAACCCCAGTACAAGTGCAAACAGGAGCCTACGGCATTCCAGGGTGGGGACATCTATTGGATAAGTGGGGAATCAATTGTCCCAAACGCCACCAACACCCCCACTACCCCCAATATTTCTAATTCATCACCAAGGTCTTACATCTCTCGGCATATTTCATTCAAATCCAAATGGAATTTCATGCATGCCACAGTGTGGGGAATCCTGAATCAATTGAATTGTTGTACTGACAGAGATTGTTTGAATGATTAAATATCATATTACCAAAGACTGTATGAATTATCAGCATTTCTTTAAATTCAGGATTTTTTTCACTTGGCAAAATATCAGTGAAAATATAAAATAATAACAAGGAAAATAATTTTGAAAGACAGGATGAATAACCTAAAATCAGTATAGTACCATATTCTGTATATAAACAGAGAGAGAGAGAGAGAGAGAGAGAGAGAGAGAGAGAGAGAGAGAGAGAGAGAGAGAGAGAGAGAGAGAGAATTAAAAATGCAAATTCTAATCATAGACAACTCACCTTAGCAGTAATATAAGGAGTGCCCTCCAATACATCGAGTTCTCCGAAAATCACAACTTGACTATTGTTTCTAATGCAGCTGATATCAATGGCAATCACGTTCACCTGTTGAGGGGAAAATGTACATGAATAAAACAGAATTGCATAAAATCACAAACAAGCTATATATATTTCTATCAAATCCTACATCATTAAATGCTATATAATCGAATGATAGTGTATATGTACATGTGTGTATGCATGTATGTATGTATGTATGTGTATGTGTATGTGTATATGTATATGTATATATATATATATATATATATATATATATATATATATATATATATATATACATACACATACACATACACACACACACACACACACACACACACACACACACACACACACACACATATATATATATATATATATATATATATATATATATATGTATATAGATAGATAGATATAGATATATATATATATAAATATATATATATATATATATATATATGTATATAGATAGATAGATAGATATAGATATATATATTTATAAATATATATATATATATACACACAAATATATTTAACTATATCTACCAACATTATATATAATGTAAAATAGGAACAAGACATTCTATTCATAAATATCACTTAGAAATGTCTCCCAAAAACATTTTCATAATTTCTAAAAAGACAATGTACAAGCACTTAATATACACTTCAGATTTTCATAGATAACTCTTTATCTCGGTGAGTAGTCATCTGTTCACCTCAGTTGCTTCTCTAAAACTGCCATGGAGGCAATTTGAAAAAGTAAAGAAATGTTAAAACCTACATGAAGAATGAAAGAAAACAAAAAAAGTCAATTTTTTATCTATTTCAGGCAATGTCCATATTTCTGCACACTCTTGTTTTCATCCACAGGGAAACTGAAGTGGATACAAATTAAGAACCGACTCTCAAACCTCCTTCCCATTTCTACGCGTTTGAAATCAAAACCATCGAGAAACATTTTGTAATCTCTATGAAGTTATTTTGCATTTCCAAGTAATAATTAGACCCCCATCAACATAATGGTTCTATCAAGCTTAAACAACACAAAGAACATATTCCGCTGATATTCCTTCTCTTTACCAATATTCTCTAAGAAACAAAGAAATTGAAAATAATAATTTTTTTTTTCTTATATGCTTTTCTCTATCCTTACAGAGAATTGATTTTATTGCACATTTGAAATATGCTACTGCAAGATGCATATCAACAGATTTATTTTCAAAACAACAAATTATTTGTATAAGAGAAAGTGATATGGCTTCAATTTATGGGATTCATGCAAGAGGTTAAGAAGGGATTGAAAAAGAATTTGGAATAATAAGTGAACAGAAGAAGAAGAAGAAGAAGAAGAAGAAGACGAAGAAAAAGAAAAGAAAACAGTAAGAAGTCACCTATCCATGCTAATGTACAGAGGAAAGTTACAATAACCCAAAATATGCCAAGAGTAAATAACTACTTGCTTCTATCTTAGGATCCTCTAGCTGTGAGACTGCCCTTGAATGTAACTAGCATTTATTACCAAGGACCTGTTTAAAAATATTTCTAGTATTTCTTGGCCAACAAACTTTATCCAGTGTCATCCATTATCAATCTTAAATTATTATTATTATTATTATTATTATTATTAGTAGTAGTAGTAGTGGTAAAAAAGAAAAGAAAATATATATACAATAAAAAATAAATAAATATATAAAATCAAATCAAACATTACATTAATGTCCTTTATGAACCAAATACGTACATCATCTACTTATAAATGTTTAGATAGCTTACTATGTTATATACTAAATACAACAAAAACATCATTAAGTCTAAAGGTCTAGCCAAAAATAATAATAAATTAGCTAACCATAATTATCATCATTATCACTATTTTATTTCTTTGTTCATACTATGGCTATTTGTATTTATTTATTTTCTCTTATATTTCAACTTAGATAAACTCTAACTTATTGTAGTGCAGAGAAATATTGCTATCCCATTGCCACCAACAATTTTCTTGCTAACAGCTCTTTCACTTTAATAACAATAATAATAATAATAAATGCAATTTTAAAAGAGACAAATTCTTTTTAATAGCTACTTGCAATTCAGTTAATCAGAGAACAATAATTGCTATTTCCCAAAGCACTTCTGTAACCCTGACACATCCATAAATTTCCTAGTTTGATAAATCTGTACTTTTTCTCTTCTATTTAAAAAATTACTATACAGATCTCAATCAATTTGTCATATGAGAAAAGTACGGATGTTCTGATTTGAGGCATAAATATAAAATCATAAGAATAACCATCCAAGGACTAAAAACAGAAAAGAAAAGAAAGAAAAAGAAAGAAAGAGAAAGAGAGAGAGAGAGAGAGAGAGAGAGAGAGAGAGAGAGAGAGAGAGAGAGAGAAGAGTGAGAGAAAAGACAAGAGAAATTAAAGTATTAAAAGATATCCATACATAAACATCATTTGTTTTCAAAAATAATATCATGTCTTACAGTCACCTTAACTAATGTATCTCTAATCTAATCTATCCATATAACTTCTATTTTTCATATTTTGCTTTTATTTATTTTTTTAAATGCAACTTTCAATAATAAACAACAAAAATTATTGACGAGTATATGTACCGATCATGTGTATTCTTTTGTTCTTGAGGAAAATTAGTTAAAGCTAAGGAAATCAGTCAACTTTTATTTATATATATTTCTTTCTCCTGAAAGTCACTCCCCTTTGGACCGATTTCTGTTGTTCCTCAATTTCCTCCAAGCTGCCAATTTCTTACCCAAGACTACTTGATGAAGAGATATCTCGAAAACTGTGAATTCATGTCCTATTTTTGCATGCATTCCAATCAAAGCTTAACGACCTCAGACCATAACACTTAATTCTCAGTCGCGTAAGGAGCTTTGACTATGCTAGTCTGGGCTCATCTCTCACTCTCTTGGAATTAAGTTTCCATCTACATTTTACTTTGTCTTTGTGGTATTCTTGTTTAAGAGCAACAGCCTAAAGAAATATTATCAGCTGCATATACTTTACACAGCCATAAAATATAGATATTCTGAGTCCACTTTAGAATAAAAAATACCAATAAAATAAAACAGACATTATAAAAGAACAAAAGAGAATAAGAAAACAAAACAAGCAAACAATAATTTACACAAAAAACAGAAACAAAACTTTACCATGAAAAAAAGAAAAGGAGGAAAAAAAAGAAATATATATATATATATAAAAAATATGAAAAATACCATTTCTTAAGTAACTTCATAAGAGAAAATATGGAATAATTAGAATGAAAAATCCTATTCAGGTCAATGTCAACAAGCATGTAACTGAGCAAGTCCAGTTTTCACTTAATGTCCAATTTATAAATAGTCTTAGGCCTCTCAATCCATTAAAAAAAAATACATGAATTAAAGTCGCGCAGTTATAAGATCACCTGTACATTTGCCATGAGCCTTCGTGCCATGCAGCAGTCCGGCAAAGGCCAACAAAGCACCACGAAGCACAACCTGGCAAGACAGAGCTGGCAGACCTCCCTGGTGATTTATCATCACATAAAGAACCAGTCCAAGCTCTATCTTGCCAGAATATACGTAGTGGAAGTTTGTTGACCTTTGCTAGAGCGCAGAGTGGGGAGGTTGCAATGATCAGCTGACAATGCGCCAACAATGGATTGGACTCGTGACTGTGGGCTCTCAGTCAGAGATTATGGCATGTTTTAAGTGCATTTATATTGAACACAGCCAAGTTTATTACAAGAAACAAGTCCTTATTTGGGAGCGACTTCAGCGGCCATCTAGACATTTAAACAAACAAAGAATATAAAATAAGTAAGTATCCACATAATCCATACAGAATTAAAGAAAGATTAACATAAATAGATACAGAACAAATAACTGCTTACTCCTAACAGGGAGAACTGCACCTAGATAGCAGAAAACTAAGGTAACTGCCAAAGAGAAAACACACACACACACACACACACACACACACACACACACACACACACACACACCAAAAAAAGCACAGAAAATAATCTTTGGAGAACTAAAGTGCACCTAAATGAGCATAAACCATTCGCAACTCATGCGACGGCAGCAACCTCCACTCATCCGCTGCTCCTGCAAAGGCCAACAAAAACCACCGAGCATAATCTTGCACGATGATCTGAGGGCAAATAAGCAACTGATTCGTGATCTCGCCGATGGGTTCCCAACCTGGGGGCCACAGGGTACTTTCTGAAGGGCCTTGGAGTAATATGAAAATTCTGACACCGAATTAAACTGAATTTTATCATCCCTACAGTACCTACATACAATAGTCTCTCACCTAAATTGGAATCTTTAGCTACCGACACCATTACACTATTCATAACTAGTAATAACAGAACTTTGAAGGGACGAGCCACAGAACAGGGCCATGAAGACTATTAAATATTGGTCAGGGCCGCAGAATGAAAAAGGTTGGGAGCAACCGGTCTAGCCGCGTCATACATGACGGAGGATAGTTGGCCTTTGCCGGAGTGTTGACGGCATGGAGGCCACAGCAATCACACGATTTTGCCTTGTGGAATGTGTTCCTAAGTTAAAAAATTTTAGAAATATAAAATAAAATAAACAGAGATTAAAATAATAATAATAATAATAATAATAATAATAATAATAAAAAACTAACTAAATAAAAATAATAAAAGGCCAAGTTCACTTATATCATAAAATACAAGTAAAGTTTCGGTCATTGTGTTTCAACAACGACCACACACAATTCTCTAAAAAGACCAAAAAACAAAAGCGAAGAATATCTTTCTCTTGAGCATTTTTTCACACACATTATTCACTTATAAATCACACTCTATTTTTTTTTTTTCATCCTTTTAAAATCATAAAATAATGTCCTTCGATGCTGCAACAGTCAATTAACAGTCAAACATATACAGGTTATTTGATCAATTATTTTTCGTTTCTTTGGGATTTGTACGCGATTTTTCTTCTCCAACGGCACGGATCTTTTCACGAATTTGCGAGTCGGAGAGGAATCCGTCCACCCTCCATCCAAAGGGGAATTGGAAAACACGAATAAAGAGGATAATAATAGCAGGGAGAGGAAGGGAGAAAGGAACTCGATGGGATAAAATTGAACGAAAAGAAATTTAAAAGAAAAATTACTCTTTGCCTTCGATTCGTACGCTTTGCATTCCTTTTCCTTCTTCTTTCTCCCTCTCCCATTTCCTCTTTCTCCTTCTCGTTATATATATATATTTTCTCTTCTCCTCCACTTCCTCTTTTTCACTCTTCCTTTCCTTCTCTTTGCTTCTCCTCTTATGCCATTTCTGTCCTTCTTCCTTTCTCTCTAATTCTCCTTCTTTCCTTCTTTCCTTCACCACCTCTTCCTCTTCCTCCATTCTCTCTCCACCATTTCTTTCCTACACCTCTCCCTCTCTTCCTTTCACCTCCTTCTTCTCCATCACTTCCTCTCCCCCTCTCTTCTCCTCCTTTTTCTTCCTCTTCCACTTCACCAACATTTCTCCCTCACTCCTCCACCCCCCCTCCCCCCTCCTCCTCCTCCCTCATTTCACCACCAAACCCCCCCCTCCCCCTTCCTCTCCCTCAGTCCTCCACCAACCCCCCCCCTTCCCTCCCTCCTCCCCCACCCCCCCTTCCACCATCCAACCAACACTTCTCCACCAACCCCCCCCCCTTTTCCTCCTCCCCCTCTCCCTCTCCCTCACTCCTCCTCCTCCTCCTCCTCCACGTCTCCCTCACTCTCCGCCGCCTTGCCTCCTCTCCTGCCCCGGAATCAGCTGTTTTCACGCAAGGAAAACAAGGAAAACTCCCCCCAAAAGCCGTGGCCGACGACCCTACCACACGTACATACACACACACACATATAATACGTTCACATACAGGTATACGTACATGAATACATATATGTGTGTGTTCAGGTACGCATATATGACTCGCATGTGGATATACGTACAAGCACGCGTGCACACACACACGAAAAAAATACTTACAGGTAGGTATACGTACACACAACCACACGCACATAAACAAATACTTACAAACAGACATACCTACATACGCACACACGTACATACACACAGGTACACGTTTCTCCTTTTTTCGTTCATCTTTTTTCTCTCTCTTTTCGGTCTTGTTTTCGTGATCTGGAGGGAGAAGTAAGTGCTATTTTTTTCTCTTTTATCTGCTACCCCTCTTCGCAAGGAGAGAAAGGAGGAGAAAGAAATATATAATAATAAACGTTTCGAGAATTAACAGCCGTTGGCAACCTCGCGCGCGCAGTTGCCATGGTAACTCGAGGCGGTGTTGCCACATCGCGCGTTCGTAATCAGTGTCCTTTGCTAATGGGAAAAATGGCTCTATTTCTCTCTATATATATTTCCCAAGCACTACAAAGGAGTATCGAACATCTCGTTTCGATAAGGAGTCCATATCCTGCGGACAAACGTCTACGAAAGGAGTTCTAATCTCGAAAAATTCCCTCACCTTATAAACTCACTCAGGCTGCCGCTCTACCTGTATGGAAATCTTTCAAGGAATTTTATTTTTGACACTCATTCTCTTTCCATCGTATTTACGAAAAAAAGAAAGAAAAACAGATGCAATAAATCCACGTGATAATCCGAAATAAAATGAGCTCGTATCTCTCCGTCCTTAACCCCTTTGCGCTATTTAACAAAACTTTTCCTGTATTTATAAGAGAACTTGTACTTGTACTTGTAAAAATTTCCATTGCTTGAAATCCTTTTCAAAACAACTCCATAATAGATCCTAACAAGCACGCCTCTTTATCCTAATGACACACATTCTCTCCATATTTGCTGAGTAAAACAAATAAATAAATAAATAGAGAAATAAATGAATAAAATGATTCCCCTTTCTCTTTCTCTCGTTCACTAACACTTTTACATCATTATTACGTCACACACTACGCAACTTAATTTCTGTCATGTTGGTCCATGTGGTGTGCAAGCAGATGTAAGCTTCCATTTTGCGAGTACGAAAACGCTTTCACAACATGTCTTTTTGAAGTAAAAGTTCGGGTGTAGTCGTTTGCAGAAAAATGTTGTATAAAAGAATGTTAGTAATCTTAACTCTTAATAGGAATGTAGAACGCACACAAGGAAAAAAGAGAGAGAGAGAGAGAGAAAAAAAAAAAAAAAAACGCATGGAATATTACCACTATGCAAAGTGCGAATCATGTGCGTTTTGATAAAATCCACGTAAGCTTTTGTATATCTACATGTACGTATGTGTACATATACAGATTCATGAATAAGCACATACATATGTTTGCACCATAACATCCTGACACACATATAAAAGGCCCACACTGATACGCAGTCACATACATATTCATTCACAGCAACACGACTTCATTCATATACACACATAGTGATCCTACCCAAACACAGACAGACACACACGCACATGCAAACGCACAGAGAGAAACAAACAATATATAGACACAAACACATACAAGAACACACACACAAGCATGCAAGGAATCGCAAATACATGTAATAATATACACATGCACACAAGACGTAAGCGCTCATGCAAATGCACTCGCTGGAAAAGGCATCAGTAAAAAAAAAATATATAAAAATAATAATAATCATAACACAAAGAGAATTAATAACAATAACAATAACAATAATAATAACAATAATAATAATAATCAATATTATCGTTATTAAAGTAATAATAACAATAAGAAAAATAAGAAAAAAATAATATTGACTACGACGATGGCAACGGCAATAATAATAAAAAAAATACAAATAAAAATGCTGAAAAAAATAAAAAAATCCACAACAATAAACGAGTTCCTAAGAACCCAAAACGAAACAAAAGAGCATCGCACGAACCCACTTCCCTCCCACTTGAACAGAATAAACTCCCAAGATCACTGCCACGACAAATCAAGCAAATAAACAACTAAAACCTATAATTTTTTTGAGGGTGGTGGGGCTGGCTGGGGGGGGGAGGGGAGGGGGGGGGCTAGGGGATAAGGTAACAAACTAAGCGTAGAATAAAAGAAGAGTAAAAATGATAAAAAAAGAGATGGAAAAGACAGGAAAAAGGCTCTCGGGAAAACATTAACATTTTAACATTAACCTGCCACGTGCTACATCCTTGTTCATATTCATATATATATTTTTTTAAGTTTCGTGGCAGTTCAAGTGGCGTCTCGACCCTTAAAAGTTCAAAGGAGTTCATAGTGTAGAGTAGTGTGTGTGTGTGTGTGTGTGTGTGTGTGTGTGTGTGTGTGTGTGTGTGTGTGTGTGAGTGAGTGAGTGAGTGAGTGAGTGAGTGAGTGTGTGAGTGAGTGAGAGAGAGAGAGAGAGAGAGAGAGAGAGAGAGAGAGAGAGAGAGATAGAGAGAGAGAGGGGGGGGGGAGGGAGAGGGAGAGAGGGAGAGAGAGAGAAAGAGTGAGAGTGAATGTGAGAGTGAGAGTGAGAGTGAGAGAGTGAGTGTGAATGTGAGAGAGCGAGAGAATGAGAGAGTGAGAGAGAGTGTGTGTGCGTGCATAGGTTGTCTTGAACAAATGACCCGTGAATATGCAGCTAAATCTTCAGAGATTGCTTGCAATATTTTTTTCCATATATCTGAAAGGGCGAGGAGAATGAACTGCATTTTTGTTTTAATTATTATCATTTACCATCACCATCACCGTTATCTTTATCCCGTTAATCTTATCATCCACATCACTGCCATTGTTCTCGTTATATTTTTTTATCATCATCATTGTATTATTAATGCACTGTATCTAATGTTATCATAAAAATCACTGTTATTGTTATCATCACCAAAAACAAATACCTTCGTTATTTCCAATGCTGTGTCAAAAATGTTCATGTCATTCTTAACAGAACTTTCACAATTATTGATATAATGATTATATGGCGATATATATATTTTTTTCTTTCTAACATTTTCTCGCTTTTACTCCTTATCAAAACCACAATCTTCTTTATTTTCTTCCATTTCATTAATCCAAAGAAACAAGGGGGAGAAGGAGAAGGAAAAGAAAAAGATGAACAAGACGAACAACAATAAAAAAGAAGAAAATGTAGCAGTAATTGCAGCAGCGGGTAGAAAGGCAGGTGGGTCTGGAAGAAAAATGAAGACGAAGACGACGAAAAGGAAGAAGAGGGAGAAGAAGACGAAAAGGACATAGGTGGAGAAGAAAAAGTCGTAGCCATAGAAAAAAAGAAAAGAAAGCAAATTAAGTAGAAGAAGAAATAAGGTTAAAGAAGAGTAGAAACAGAAAGAAAGATAAAAAAAACCATGTACAAACGCAAGGCTCTTTAGCCAGCGATGAATCCGCATCAATCCGATAATCCGACCGAAATTAGGCGAACGACGGCCCATGAGCTGCAGTTTCCGTAAGCTAATGCTCATTTTCGGAAATTAACGAGAAAACAAGGGTCTTTGTAAAATATATATGGGGCGCTGGGCTTCTAATAATAAGTGAGGTGCATTTAAGAAGAGAAAAAAACAGTGGATATTGAAGATGGCGAAGATAAAAAGGGATAAAGAGAGTCGGAGAAGAATTCTGAATCCGACGCATTTAATCCACCTTCTACACGAAAGTCCGCGTAACCTGTCTGTTTCTGTCTGCGTTTTTATCTACTTGTCTGTCTAGCGATCTCGATCTCTTTTATAAGCATGGCATAATGGGCGGATTTATGAATATCACAATATCGTTACTTATTAAATATTCAAAATGATAACGAACATATACGTATTCACTCTCTCTCTCTCTCTCTCTCTCTCTCTCTCTCTCTTCTCTTTTTCTCTCTCTTCTCTTTTTCTCTCTCTTCTCGTTTTCTCTCTCTTCTCTTTTTCTCTCTTTTCTCTCTTTCCTTTTTCCGTCTTTCTCTCTCACTCTCTCCCACTCTTTTTTTCTCTATTTTCTCTCTCTCTCTCTCTCTCTCTCTCTCTCTCTCTCTCTCTCTCACTTACCCACCCTCTCACTTACCCACCCACTCACTCACCCACTCACTCACCCACGCACACGAAGATATTTACGTAACAATGCAAACTCCTTTTACGGTAAAAGTGAAACATTCTCGTCATTCCATGTAGCACAGAAACAGTTGCGCATTGAAGGCGTGCATAGTTGCATAAGAGATCCATTATATGAATAATATGATTCTTGCATTAAAGGTAAAGGATGAACAGGAAGGAAGGAGGGAGACGGGGACGGAGAAATAGGAGGGAGGGAGGGAAGGAGGGAGGGAGGGAGGGAGGGAGGGAGGGAGGGAGGGAGAGAGGGATGGAGAGAGGGTGGGAAGGTGGGATGAATAGGAAGGAGGGGTGGAAGGAGGGAGGGAAGGAGAAAGGGAGAGGGAGGGAAGGAGAGAAGGAAGGGGGGAGGGAGGGAAAGGGAGAGTGGGAAGGAGAGAAGGAGGGAGAGAGGGAGAGGAAGGGAGGGAGGGAAAGTGTGATGAATAGGAAGGAGGGGTTATAAGAGGGAGGGAAGGAGAAAGGGAGAGGAAGGAAAGAGAGGGAGAAAGGGAGGTGCGAAAATGATAGAGAGGGAAGAAGAGAAGGAGGGGAAAGGAATGAAGAAAGAGAGCGAAAGATGAGGGTACAGAGACAAGCAGAGACGGAGTTATCACCCTTCGATACAAGATAAAGGGGAGATGTACCGCTGTAGAGTACGGAGGAGAACGGGAGACATAAAGAATGAAGGAAAAAAGGGAAAAGGAGAAAAAGAGGAGGGAGGGAGGGAGAGGGAGGGGGAGGGAGGGGGAGGGAGAGGGAGGGGAGGGAGGGAGGGGGAGGGAGGGAGGGGGAGGGAGGAGGGAGGGAGGGAGGGAGGGAGGGAGGGAGAGAGAGAGAGAGAGAGAGAGAGAGAGAAAGAAAGAGAGAGAGAAAAAGAGAAAGAGAGAGAGAGAGAGAGAGAGAGAGAGAGAGAGAGAGAGAGAGAGAGAGAGAGAGAGAGGAGAGAGAATAGAGAATAGAGAATAGAGAATAGAGAATAGAGAAGAGAGAAGAGAAAAGAGAAAAGAGAAAAGAGAGAAAAGAAAAGAGAGAAGAGAAAGAGAGACAGAGAAACACACACAGAGCCGGCAGAGGGCGCGAGGATTTTTATCGCCCGCCGTCAGCGCGTTATCACCGCCCCTAACCGGCCGGGGCAGAGGCGTCGCCCGCGGAG